AGATTATTTTGTTTTATTTATGAGTGTTTCTGTGTGCATGTGCACAGAAAAGGCAGAAGAGGGTATCGGATTCCCTGGACTTGGGGTTACAGGTGGGTGTGAGTTATCCAATGTGAACGCTAGGAATCAAACTCCAGCCCTCTGGAAGAGCTGCAATTGCTCTTAATGGTTGAGCCATCTCTACAGTTCCTACCATTGCATTTTTGTTTTTCTTAATTAATTAATTAATTAATTAATTTAAATTTTCCACCTCCTCCCATCTTCCCATTTCCCTCCCACTCCCCCTCACTCTCCAGTCCTAAGAGAAGTTTGGGTGCCCTGCCTTGTGGGAAGTCCAAGGCCCCCCCTCCATCCTAGGAAGGTGTGCATTCAAACAGACTAGGCTCCCAAAAAGCCAGTCTATGCAGTAGAATCAAAATCCAGTGTCATGCCTAATGTTATGATCCTTTAATACAGTTCCTCATATTGACATAACCCCCAACCATAAAATTATTTTTGTTGCTACTTCATCACTGTAATTTTGCTACTGTTATGAATTATCATGTAAATATCTGATATGCAGGACATCTGATATGTGACCCCTGTGAAAGGATCATTCAACGCTCAAAGGGATTGCAAAGCACAGATTGAGGACCCCTGCTGTAGAGCCTAGCAGAAGGCATGGAACCTGGGGAACACCTGCGGTGTCTGCGACTGTTCTCAAGTCTAGAATGTGGTTGAATTTAGTCAGTGTCCTGAAATACACACTCATCTTAAGAATGGAAAGCTGCCAGTCTTAAACAGTAAACTTCAAATGTAGACAGCTTAGTAAGCAGGAGATACAGCAGATCGCTTGGGTTTCATGCTGAACACGTCCCATCATACATTTGGATGACGGCATTTCAAGTGTGAGTGTAAGGTTCAAAATAAATTATACGGCATCAGGCTAGCCTTGTATTTTCTACAGGTGAAGGCAGATTAAAGTGAAAAAGAGGAGGAAGAGTGACAAGAAATGGAGCCATGTAACTTCTGAGAGGCAGGAGGAGGAAGTGGATCTTTCTTGTCGGATAACTCTAGACAGGTGCATTATGGAAAGGCAGGTGGTGGGCTGAACCGAGGTGACGCGTTGTTTTCTTTTGTAGTGTGTGTGTGTGTGTGTGTGTGTGTGTGTGTATACACACACATATATATTATATATATAATAATATAAATATATATATATATAATTTTTCTCTCCCATACTGAGGTTCCCTTGGGCTTGGTTCTAAAACCACCTGGCTCTTACAGGTAGCACAGGCCCACAAATGCCAGATGTTTGAGTCAATCATGCTTACTTTTCTTATATGAAAGAGGCCTGGTTGGGTAATTATTAAAATGCAATAGAATGTGTTGTGTAATGCCTTGGCAGGTCAGAGAGTGCCATGTTCATCTGCCTATTAATGATGTGCAGGGATGAGGAGCTCCTCAACTCCTCTCCTTGCTGCTGAGGAATGGAAGGCATGCCAGACCCATTACCCACCAGAGAGGAACACATATTCTGAAAATAAGATTCTAGCAGGAAGTCTCAGATAAGGCAGGAAAGAAGGTGGAGAAGAGCTGCTTCGAAGCCTTTGTCTTGCTACGGCTAGGGAATAAAAAGGAAAGAGACACATGCAGACACATGCAGTTTGCTGTCTTCAAATGTCTTTTGCTCACTGTCAGCCTCTCGCCCAGGGAAAGCTGTCCTTGTCCAGTGGGGAGCAGCAAGCTCAATTCCCACAAATACGGACTGACAGCTCCCCTCACCAATTACTCTGAAGTCAGGAGAAAATCTAAAACACCTTTTTTTCTTGCTTTACCTGGATGACAATGAGAAATCAACACCTACTTCAAGAAAGATTATGCTACCTAGCTGTGAGGACTGGATTAGCACACAATAAAAACATTCGTTTAGTACAAGGGAAAGAGCCATTTAAAAAAAAAAACAGGCAAGAGTGGATGTGGTGGCCTTTAATCCTAGCAGAGACAGTCAGATATTGGAGTTTGAGGCCAGCCTCATAAAGCAAGTTCCAAGATGGCCAGGGCTACACGGAGAAACCCCATCTCAAAAAACAAAAAACAAAACAGTCAAAAAGAAACAAAGACAATGATGTTCATTAATAGAAATGTCAACCTTAAAATAAAACTGCAAATAAATAAATCAATCTTGACTATTAACATGTAAATACTTGAGCTACATCCTGTCAAGAAACAGGAAGGTGTTTTAAATGTCACAATACACTTTAATATGTCTGTTTATTTATCAAGGTCCCACAACTAAGCAATAGATTTTTTTTGTTTTGTTTTGAACTTCTGTTTGTTTGTTTGGTTAGTTGGTTTGATTTTTTTTTTTTTTGAGATATGGTTTTTCTGTGTAGCCCTGACTGTCCTGGAACTTGCTCTATAGACCAGGCTGGCCTCAGACTCACAGAGATCTACCTGCCTCTTCCTTCCAAAGGCTGGGATTAAAGGCGTGCACCACCACTGCCCTGCAAACTATAGGTTCTTGCTTCTCTTTTGCATCAGAAGCCTGTACACAGATAGTTATCAGAGCAGTGTGGAACTAATGCCTTCCTGAACAGCGAATAGTTCAAAGTTCATACCCAATTTCTTATTCTGTATACTTTCAATTGAAGCATTGGAAGAGAACTTGGGATGCAGGTACTCAGGCCGTAGTACGGATGCTTTGTAATGGGGCTGTAAGGTACAAATGGACAGACTGTTCCCTGGGCAAGATTATCCAATCAAATGCACACATTATAATAGAAAATCCAGCCCACGTTCCTCACTAACCACAAGCCACAGTATCACTCCCTATGTGCCCATAGAGAGCAGGGCCTTCTTACAGCTCCCTACAGAAGCATTGTGCACAACAGAGACAATCCTGGCTTAAATAATGACTTCGAATTATCTCTGACAGGTTCCATCCTAAGAGCCAGACAACATGCCCCACTGACCTGATTCCACAAGGTCTATTCTTGAATTAAGACAAGGTTGGAGATTGTTTCCCAGGGATTCTCAACATAGGAGGGGCTTATAAAATAAATAGTTTTCAATTAAAAGAATGGTGTGAGGTGATAGAGTGTCTCAACTATAAAACAGGACTCCTCCGAAATTACTGCTGATCCTGACCAACCTCCTGTCAGTCACAACCCAGAGAATGTCTGCTGGGACAGCCTATCCTCCAAGATATTTGCTTGCCTAAAACAGACAATTCCAGGAAAGACAGATCACAGACCCACACAAGTCCCCTACAGTTGCAAGAACTTCCTCATTCCCAAGCCTCCCACCTGCCTATGTAAAGGGCTCCAGCTAGCCTAACCCCTTTCAAGATACCCCTTCCCTCAGGAGAGTGTTTGTCCTTCCATGTAAATGTTCAGTCTGTTGAGGTCAGATTCTAGTCTCTATCTGCCTTCTGCCTTTTTAAGTTGCCTCAGAAATCTAACGGAAGGGAGCCTCAGTATTTCCCTGCTCCCAGGATGTAAGTTTTAGGCACTCTAAAAACAAATAAAGACAAAACTAACCCTGGGAAGGCTTAAAGATCATAGAATCACTACTCGGCATTACCAGAAACCATCCTGCCCAATGATCTCCTGATTATACCTACGAATAAGACAAGCAGATCAAGATTAAGTGACTTGCTTGAGGGTGGCAAAGCTGAGCCTCGACTTCTGCTGGTTTTTTTTTTCTTTCAATCTACTAACCTATCATACACACACACAATCATACTAACCTACCATACACACACACTAACCTATCATACACACACATACTAACCTATCATACACACACACAAACATACTAACCTAACATACACACACACACACAAACATACTAACCTATCACACACCCACACACATACACGCACACCTGGTTGGCATTGCCATTGCTATAACCCAGACCCTCGAATGTGCACTGACTGTGGGAAAAGACTGAGACATAGAGACTTGGTTTCCATCCAAGGCCTCCTGCAATATGGAAAGAACAGGAAATGTAAGTACAAGGGGCTAAGCAATCCTAAGCAAGAGCTGGCGTTGGGAGGCTGGGACTCCGTTTCCTAAGTGGGAGTAGTGCTGTCCAGGAGAGCTGCAGGGATAGGGTGGGGCGCCTTCCTACGCACAGGCTGAAGATTGGGAAAGGGCCAGGCCAGGTGACCGAGCAGGTCCTTCGGAGGCAGAAAGCGGGCCTAAAGCCCGGAACGTGAGCTAGCAACTTCCAGGGCCCCTCCGGGGGATTCAGCTGAATCAGCCTCTGGGCTCATGACCCGAATGTGTAAAGATGAGTGGGAGGAAGCCTCATTCCAGCTGGCATCCGAGGGCGTGGGAGCAAGGGGGAAAGCCACGGCGCCGGGAGCGAGGTGCTGCACCAAGGACGAGACGGCGGTGACCCCACACGACCCCCACTTCGGGCGGAGACACCGCCGCGCGCGCTAACCGAGCGGCTTCGGGCCTTCCGGGG